TGGAAAGTGATATATTTTAATTTTAAATCCTGAAAAAACTTGATTATGGTATACAGCTTGAATTTTAAGATGAATTTGTTTTAGCTTGAGGCCCCCACATCATTTGGTCCCAGGAACTTCTCTGTTCCTATTTATGTATTTTAAGTTTACCTAGTTCACTCCTTGCTCAATTAAGGATCTACAATCATGGGCTAAATTACTTTAGTAATCCATTCTCTGCCTGAATATTCAACTGAAGAAGATGCCTTAACTTTCTAAGAAAGTTTGATTTAGTGTCAGATGTCACTGTGGACAAGCTAACAAAAACCATTTTCTGTTATTTATTATTAAAGCCATAGCAGAACCTCTAAACATAATCTTTGAAAAATCTTTCGGAACCAGATCCTTGCCCAATTTATGGTCACTAGCTACGGTCATCCCTTCAGAAAGGGATGCGTAGTTGAAAATTACAGACCAATCTCTTTATGTTGCACAACCTGTTAAAGTCATGGAATCCATTATCAACCAATGAATTACCCTTCACTTAGAGATAAAGAACCTACTTTCTAACAAACAATTTGGTTTCAGAAAAATATTTTCTGTAATCTTCAACTCCTACACTGCAAAAACATATGGACTACACAACTCGATCAGGGCAAAGCAATAGACGCACTTTATATAGACTTCTTTAAAGCCTTTGATTCAGTGGTACATGACAAACTACTTCTAAAGCTAAAATCTTATGGCATTTCTGGACACCTGCATAATTGGATAGCTGTGTTCCTATCAAACAGGCAACAAATGGTCAAAATAGGAAGCACCCTATCAAATCTTGTACCTGTCAACAGTGGTGTCCCCCAAGGCAGCATTCTAGGACCAACTCTCTTTATACTTTACATAAATGACCTCTGTGATCATATTAAAAGCAACTGTGTTCTCTTCGCTGATGATATAGAACTATTCAACACCATCAGCAACACTGCTACCCTTCAAAAAGACCTTGACTATGTGTCAGAATGGTCAAACAAGTGGCAACTTCAAATCTCAACCAACAAATATTTTGTCTTACATATAGGAAAAAACAATTAGAACATAAATTACAAGCTGGTGGACACAACCTTGTAGATGACCCATACTCTGTCAAGGACATTTGAATACTCATCTCTAATGATCTAAGTGCCAGAGCCCATGGTAACAACATTGCCAAAAAGGCATTAAGAGTTGTTAACTTAATCTTGTGTAGCTTCTTTGATAATATTGCACTGCTAACTAGAGCATACAAAACATTTGCTAGACCAATTCTTGAATACAGCTCATCTGCCTGGAACCCGCACTGCCTATTGGACATTAATACAATTGAGAGAGTCCAGAGATATTTCATAAGAAGATTCCTCCACTCTTCTGCTTGCAACAGAATTCCTTATACTACCAGACCTGAAATTTTGGGCCTAGACAACTTAGACCTATGCCGCCTTCGGTCTGACCTAAGCGTAGTACATAAAATTACCTGCTATAATGCCCTACCTGTCAATGACTACTTCAGCTTCAACCACAACCATACACGAGCACACAAGAGATACAAACTTAAGGTAAACAGCTCCAAACTCGATTGCAGAAAATACGACTTCAGCAATAGAGTTGTCAATGCCTTGAATGCACTACCTGACTGTGGTTTTTTCCCCAAACCCCCAAAACTTTAACCTTAGACTTCTACTGTTGACTTCACACCATTCCTAAGAGGTCTGTAAGGGGTGTACATAAGAGCACCAACGTCCCTACCATCCCTGTCCTAATGTCCCCTTTTATCTGTATCCATTTAATGTACTCATAATCATGTTCCTAATTATATCTGTTATCAAAAACATGCTTGACAAAATAAAAAATAAAATATTTCTACTAATTCTTTGGAATTATAGGGAACAAATTTCCATTCCATGTACTTGAAAACATCAACAAGAATAGTTTTTCCCCCAATCCCTTTCACACAAAGATTGACACACTCTCATACATATTATAAACAGCCATATAAAGATGCATTTTCTGTGCCTTCTTCAACTGAACTATTCAGAGACAGATTTACCACTTCATATGCTGCTTCTGAGAATTCACCTTAAATTATGTATAGTTTGTAGTAGCCCCTTTCAATGCCATTCTATTTTCCTCCTTAATTGTATTTCTGTATATTTTGTCAATATTATTTTGTCATTCATCATAATTTGCCATCTATGACTGTGTCATTTTTAATTAGAAGCTTTTATTAGAGAGGTTGCATATTCCCTCTGTTCCCCATTCCCAGCTCTACCTGTGGAATTTTGTAAATAGATAAAATTGTGGCCAGATAGGACGAGGTTTCAGAATCAAGTCCACCGATGACAGCTACCAACTGGTCTTTAACATCACATGTGAAGTTAGGAACAAATCTCTCTTTTGCAGAAAGTAGCCGGAGGACAGTGTTATATGTGAACTGTCCATTGTAGTAATTGTCAAAGATGTTAAAACCCAACGTGATGTTAGGAAGAAGCATGGAATTCTCATTGATCTCTTTTATGGCAAATACAAGAGCCAGGATGTGCTGGTAGTTTTTTGGCATCACACTGAAAAGTTACATTAGTTACTTTCCCCGCCCCTCCAAAAAAAAAAACATGTTTTCATGCTTTAGCAAAATTCAAACAAAGCATCTTATGTCAGTGCAATGACCTTATTGTACACATCTTAACTGCAGCAAGAATCACATTAGCACAAAATTGGAAGAGTGATAAAATACCACCAGATGAAGTTTTGATTCAAAAAATAATGGACTGTGCTGAACTAGATAAATTCACTATGGAACTGAAAGGCAAAGAGGATCGAGAATACTATGTGACATGGGAGAGGTGGTACGAATGGGTGAAGGATAAGGATAAAAATAATGTATAGTCACAAAATAAGAAACATGTATATACACTGACACAATAACTGTTAATGGAAATGAGATTTTTGTATTTTTTGTTTTTAAAGAATAAAAATTTTAAAAAAAGAAACATGTTTTCATGATTTAGCAAAAATCAAACAAAGCATCTTATGTCAGTGCAATGACTAACAAATTTAGAAAATCTTGACTTTAGTGCATGAAAGAAAACATTATACTTGAAAAAAGCAAAGCCTAACTTGTGTGTATTTTCCATTAGTAAAGCATAAGAGATTTCCTCATCTATAACATTTTATAACATAACATTTCATATACTGGATTTTTAAACTGTGAAGCAGGGAATCTGCTCTACATATACTAAAATTGTTCCCATTCAAGCTAGAATCACATTCATATAGGATATAAATTTTGCTTTACATACAAAGGACAGACTTCTCATTTGAAAAGCCATGCTCAATAGATTGAGAATGTTATTAAATTGAGGAAGCCAGAGAAGCAAACTTATCTATCTCCTTTCTGAATCTGTAGGATACACCTAGAGTTGCAGGAAACACAATTAAATCTAGAACAAACATAGTGCTCTCTCTTTATCTAATCCCTGCCTTTCCAGCATTAAAATTCCCATCTTTTCCTTGGATGCTGTAATGAAATATACTCTATTTATGGAATGGCTCAAAAGAAGAGAGCAGATTTGGCCAAATATAACTGATGAGTTCTTTGCTAAGCTGAAAATTAAGAAATGACTTTTTCTAAATCAAACCCAAAATACAGCTGTTTAGTGATTCAGATATTAGTTCCATTGGGAAATTTGAACAGCGGAGCAAGGGAATGTTGCAACTTCAAAATATAACTGATCACTGATAGCTAACAGTTAAGAAATGGAAATGTCATGTATAATTGAAACCACTTGAAAGTATTCTGAAATAAAAAAAAATTAAAATCAGGGATGCATAAGTCGGATGAATCAGGCAACATATAAACTATTTATTTATTTTTTGAAAAGTATATTAAAAATGATTATGAGTCTGGTGGTGCTAGTAAAAGTGTCACTAGGAAGTTATTTTAAGGATGAAAGCACATCTGAAACAGAAAAATTAAAGAAATTATGGAAGCAATCAGCAGAGTTTCAATTGAGACAGCATAATAAAGCCTCCATGATATACTAAATTTTAAACAGACAAAATTAAAGTGCAGAGTTTCAGAAAATGACAACGAATGAATGAAGAGCTTAAGAATCAAGAAGATGGTTATGCAAAAAGGAAAAAGAAAAAAAACTGACAAGCAAACATCAAAGTGCGAAAATTAACAAAAGTACTATGTGGAATGCTAGATATTTATATAATTATGAATCATTAATAAGTGCAAATATTATAAATGGTGTCTTTACAAAATTTAAAATAAAACAGGTATGATTCTTCAATAATAAGATAAATTTCACTCAAAAGGCAGAAATCTAGATTCTGGCCAAATTCATACAGTTTTCTTCTGGTCAGGGTGGGATAGAAATGGCTTACATGGCTTCTTTCATGCTAATCTCTGAAGGCCTTTCTCTGAAATCGATTGACAAGTGGAGGAAAAAGACCTGGGAAACAATCTCTCCAATAGCAAGGTTTCCTGGCTGGTAGAACTCATGTAAAATTATGACTGGATCACTTAAGCTGCATACAATGGAAGGAGCCCTGCTGGAAAAGGAATTTATATTGAACACAACTGGACATAGTGATAAGAATGAAATAATGATGATGGGACCCAATGATGCTTTGAAGATACACATTTTCTGATTTCTTCATCAATATGAAGAACTACTAGTACTACTAGGCTAGCAGGTTAATAAGGGGGAAGCATTCAGATAATGATAGTGAAAGATAATTAGTACCGCAGGTGCTGAGGTTGTTGACATCTGGAGAAATATTGTCTTATTTTAACAACTACTTTATGGGGACTTGTCTAAAATATTATTTCTCAAAATATGAAGCAGAAAATGGTAATTGTCACATACATTAGCTTCAACCAAAGTAACTAATTTATGAATGTATAAGGAGGCAGATACATATGTACATATACATATATGAAGGTATCTTAATTCCTAGATAAACTGTTTATTAGATGACCCTCATTGTCTCTTTATTAGTTGATCTTTGTTGTTCAATTCAGACCTGAATACAATTATGTAGCATTTAGGGAAAAAGATGCAACTCAGAAGCCCAGCACTCGATATTAAGATAGAGAAGATTTCAACAGCCACCACATATTTTCCTTTGGTACTCAAGTACATTGGACCAAAAGACAACCAAACACTGCAAAAGATCAACATGCTGAATGTAATAAATTTGGCTTCATTGAAACTGTCAGGTAACTTCCTGGCAAAGAAAGCCACAGAGAAGCTGACCATGGCCAGAAAACTCATGTAGCCCAAGACAAGACAAAACATGATAGCAGAGCCCTCATTGCATTCCAGAATGATTTCTTCATGGAGAGAGTTTAAGTCCCTATCTGGGAATGGTGGGGAAGTAAATAGCCAAATAGAACAAATGCACACTTGGATAGAGGTGCAGGAAATGACGATAGTATCTCCAAGTTTTTTTCCTACCCATTTCCTTATCTTGGACCCAGGCTTAGTAGCCACAAAGGCTAGAACAACAATGATTGTTTTGGCCAAAACACTGGAAAGGGCCAAAGAGAAGACAATGCCAAAGGCTGTTTGTCGGAGAATACACATGGTAGATGTTGGTTTTCCAATGAAGAGGAGAGAGCAAAGGAAGCAAAGAAAGAGAGAGAAGAGAAGAATGTAGGTGAGGTTTCGGTTGTTTGCTTTGACTATAGGAGTGTCCTGGTGTTTCCAAAAAGTTCTAAGCACACAAATTGTTGTCATAGCAAAAACAATTGAAAATCCCATTAAAATGATCCCTGGTAGCTCTCCATAGGATAGGTAGTTTAAAAGTTTTGGGATGCATTGGTTCTGTTGGAAATTTGAATATTCATCTTCTTGACATTCAATGCAGAAATCCATATCTGGAAATAGGAGGAAATATAATCAGCAAAATTCTACACAAACACAACATCAGGAGAACACAAGAACACAGTCAGAAAAGAAGAAAATTCTTCCTCCCTTTTTCAGCATCTTAAAGCCACAGGACATGAAATTAATTTTGAGGGAACCAAATTAATCTCCAATACTGAACACTTCAACAAGAAAATAATCAGGGAAGCCATCGAAATAGAGAAACATTCCAATAACATGAATAAACAGGATGATGCCTCCCGCCTACCAGACATCTGGAAACTAGCCCTTATCAACAAATGAGTTCCAGCCACGAAAACCAATACCAGACTCAAAACAACATGACACCACCACCATTCTCCCTCACCAGAATCAAACCCAAACTCACCCCATAGAGGAAAGGCAACCACTGTCCAGAAAGCAGACCATAGCTGCATCACCAGCTGCCACACACCCTGACCCCCAAATCAAGCAAACTGACACATGCCATGAACACATAGCCAGGCCTCAAACTTGGAGCCAAACCAAAACCTGGAACGTCACATCACAGCTCAGGATATCATACCATGGAACTCAGGAAATTATACCACAAAACCTCAGGATGTTACAACACAGCCAACGACCCAGGAGATTACAGCACAAGACCCAGGATGTTACAACAATAGAACTCAGAAGGTCATCACACAGCCCATGACCCAGGTCATTACGACCAAGGAGATTACAGCACAAGACCCACACAGCCCATTACTCAGGTTGTTACAACACAGGAGGCTGATAGACACACAGCCAATACCTCAGCCACACATGTTCTTACGAAAAACCCAGCCAATCTGCAAACATCAACTCCATCAACCAATCAAGAAATGACAACACAGCCAACCTCCCCACCAGTATATATATGGAGATGGCAGCTCTGATCATGCTTTGCTCGCACAAGCACGAAGCTGAAAGCACCAGCCTGAAGATGGTGAGTGGGACCTCATCGAAAGGTTGGCAAGATACTCTCAACCTTACACAGAAAAAGACTCAAACACTCCAAGACCTGCATACCTGTACCCGTGAAAATCTACGAAAACACACACACACACACACACACACACACACACACACACACACACTTGTTTTCTTAAGTTTTCGCGGGTATTTATATGTATGGTATTCAGCTTTGTTCAGGTATTTTCCCACGTCATTATAGTTGTGCTTTTAAAGTTGTAGCAATGTTTCGGCAGAATCTCATCTGCCATCATCAGGCTTCTGTATAGTGTTTGTCTGTGAGTCAGACTTTCACAGCCATTTCTGTTTTAAATTTGGTGCTAGCCTGTGCTGTGCCAGAATGTTTTTTTCTTCGTCCTGATTGGTTGGGAGTCTTGGTCTGTGTTTATTGGTCTTGGAGTTTGCTGTGTTCTGCTTGATTGGTGTTTCAAATATCTTCTGTCTGTTTTGTAGCTTTTTTTGTCTTGATTGGCTAGCAACATTGTGTTTCCTGTATTGGAGGCTTTTAGTGCAGCTTGGCTCCGAGTAAACGGATGGCTATCATTTATTAGGAAGCTAGGTTTCATCTGGGTGCCTGGTTGGGGTGTGTTTGAGCTGGAGGTATCAGCATGAGTCTGTTTGTGCCCAGCCAGCCAAACACCTGGGCACAAACAGACTCCTCCTGATACCTCCAGCTCAAGCATACCCCAACCAAAGCCTCCAATACAGGAAACACAATGTTGCTAGCCAATCAAGACAAAGAAAAGCTACAAAACAGACAGAAGATCTTAGAAACACCAATTAAGCAGAACACAGCAAACTCCAAGATCAATAAACACAGACCAAGACTCCCAACCAATCAGGATGAAGAAAAAACCATTCTGGCACAGTGTAGGCTAGCACCAAATTTAAAACAGACAAACACTATACAGAAGCCTAATGATGGCAGATGAGATTCTGCCAAAATGTTGCTACAACTTTAAAAGCACAACTATAATGGCGTGGGAAAATACCTGAACAAAGCTGAATATCATACATATAAATACCCACGAAAACTTAAGAAAACAAATATATATGTGTGTGTTTGTGTGTGTGTGTGTGTTTTGTAGATTTTCATGGGTACAGGTATGCAGGTCTTGGAGTGTTTGGGTCTTTTCTCCCGCATAATATTGGAAGTATCTAGGCAACGTTTCGATGAAGTCTCATTCATCATCTTCAGGCTTGTGTCTTCGGCTCTGTGCTTCTCAGAGTAAAGTGAGCTTGCAGCTGCTTCTTCCTTTTAACTGCTAGTGGGGGTGTGACTTGATTGGGTGGGGGCTTGGCTGTGTTCTGATTGGGTGGGGGGTTGGCTGTGCTCTGATTGGCTGGGGGTGTGTTCTGTTCAGGTGGGGGCTTGGTTGTGCTCAGGTTAGTCTTAGTTGCTGGGGGATTTGAGCTGGTGAGCTGTGATCCTGCTGTTTGGCTTCGGGTTCGTGGTCGTGCTGCATCTTCATGGTGGGCATCAGTTCGCTTCATGTATGGGTCGGAGGTGTTTGAAGCAGGTAGTGATGCAGCTGCGGTGCAGCTTCTGGTCCGTGGTCGTGTCTTATCTTCTGTGTGGGTGTGAGTCTGCTTTCTACATGGAAGTGTGGTGGTAGCAGCTTGTGTGGCCCTCGTGGGTGTGGGTCTGGTGTCATTCTTCATGTTAGGTACTCGTCTGTTCATGAGGGCGGGTTTCCAAATGGCTGGTAGGCGGGAGGTGTCATCTCATTTATTCATGCTGTGTGGGCGTTTTTCTATCTCTATGGCTTCTCTGATTATTCTGTTGTTGAAGTGTTCGGTTTTGGCGATAGTTCTGGTATTTTTAAAGTCAATCTCATGTCCTGTGGCTTTGAGGTGTTGGACCAGGGAAGAGGTTGGTTCTTCTTTTTTGATTGAGTTCTTATGTTCTTCAATGCGTGCATTTATTCTTCTGTTACTTTGTTCGATGTATGTGGTGGGACAGGCGGTGCAAGGGATTTCGTATACTCCTTGGTTTTCTAACTCGATTTTGTCTTTAGAGTTTCTTAGGATGGTGGATATTTTTCTGTTTGTGCAGAATGCTGTTTTAATGTTGTGTTTTTGGAGGATCTTGCTGATTTTGTCTGTAGTGCCTTTTATATATGGGAGGAGGGCTTTGCTGTTCTCTTGTTCTCTGTCTTGGATTGGATGTCACCCCCACTAGCAGTTAAAAGGAAGAAGCAGCTGCAAGCTCACATTACTCTGAGAAGCACAGAGCAGAAGACACAAGCCTGAAGATGATGAATGAGACTTCATCAAAACGTTGCCTAGATACTTCCAATCTTACACGGGAGATAACACGAATAACCAAAGATCCACATACAAATACCCGCGAGAACCTCAGAAAACAAATATTGCACCTCTACGGGGAGGAAACCCACCATCTGACCAGGACTTATGAAAAACTTGAAGTCCAAAGAGCTTCCATTTTATGTGACCTCGCATTCCTATGCAACTGCTGAGATCAAAATTTAATTCCCACAAGCTTCCAATTGAAATTCCACACCAACACAGCAGCCACCAAACGCATCCTAAAAAGAACAGAATTGGCCCTAATTAGAAATGAACTTCACACAAAAAGATTTCTCCTAGACCAAATCAACAAAGATCTCCTTACACTTCACCTCAAACTCAGCAACAAGATTCACCCCTTACTTTGGGACAAATCCAAACAACTCGCTGTCTGGAGAGCTGAAACACAGACCACCCTCAATACAGACACACACACCAACAAACTCAGAAAACTACAACAACACCAGAAACAAACTCCTCCCCCCTCACAGCCACATATGAAACAAACAGTGCACAACATCTCAGACAAGATCCTCACCAAAGCCGAAACCAAGGTCCTTTAGAAAGGATTCAACTTTGCTGTCGCTCCCAAACACATCCCCACAGAAACCATCATATGCGGAGTTGAAACCAGCCTGACCAAAACCAACCCTGATGATGCTAATAGAATCAGACTCGAAATCACCAACATCCTCTGCACCAGCAAACCACCCAAAAGCAACTTATCCAAAGAAGAACAAACTGCACTACGTAACCTGAAAGAAGACACCAGCATAACAATCCTACCAGCAGACAAGGGCAACGCGACAGTGGTTATGAACACATCTGACTACCAAACCAAGTTAACCAACCTACTCCAAGACCCCACATACAAACCCCTAAACACAGACCCCACCACCTACCTAGAAAAAAACACCAGATCCAAAATAAAAGCCTCCCCCATCAGCGAAGAAATCCAGCAAAGAATCATACCCAGAGAGAAATCATCCAGATGCCCTAAGCTTTATGGTCTCCCCAAGATACACAAAGAAGGAACCCCACTTAGACCAATAGTCAGCTCCATAGGCTCACCTCTACAAAACCTAGCCAAATTTCTTGCCAAACAACTACAGCCCTATGCAGAATCCATCAACTCACATGTAAGAAACTCATTCCAGTTCATCGAGATCATAAAGAAACAAAACTTACAATCCAGCAACCTACTAGTGAGCTTCGATGTCATATCCCTCTTCACCCAAGTGCCAATAAAAGAAGCCTTGACAGCCATCCAAAACAAATACAACCCCCAAGCACATCCTAGATCTGACCAACCACTGCCTATCCAATACATACTTCACCTACAATGGACAAAAATACAAACAAATAGAAGGAGCACCCATGGGATCACCCCTCTCACCTGTCATCGCAAACCTCTACATGGAACACTTTGAAACACAAGCTCTAGAAAAATATGATCACAAACCCAAACTCTGGCTCAGATATGTAGATGACACCTTCATAATCTGGCCACACGGGAAAGAAAAACTGAACAACTTCCTCACACACCTCAACAGCCTACACCCCAAAATACAATTCACCATGGAAACAGAAGCTAACAATCAACTTCCCTTCCTAGATGTCTTGGTATACAAAAAATCCAATGGCTCCCTAGGACACACCATCTACCAGAAGAAAACACATACAAACCGCTATCTACACGCACTCTCACACCACCACCCAGCACAGATCAATTCTGTAGCTGAGACACTCATCTCCAGAACAAAATGCTTAGCTGACAAACAACACCTAAAAACTGAACTACACACTCTCACTAAGGTACTAACAGCCAATGGATTCCAAAGAAAGAAGATTACCCACCTAATCCAAAAAGAAACCCCAACCAAAATCCAAGACAGAGAACAAGAGAACGGCAAAGCCCTCCTCCCATATATAAAAGGCACTACAGAAAAAATCAGCAAGATCCTCCAAAAACACAACATTAAAACAGCATTCTGCACAAACAGAAAAATATCCACCATCCTAAGAAACCCTAAAGACAAAATCGAGTTAGAAAACCAAGGAGTATACGAAATCCCTTGCACCGCCTGCCCCACCACATACATTGGACAAACTAACAGAAGAATAAGTGCACGCATTGAAGAATATAAGAACTCAATCAAAAAAGAAGAAACGACCTCTTCCCTGGTCCAACACCTCAAAGCCACAGGACATGAGATTGACTTTAAAAATACCAGAACTATCGCCAAAACCGAACACTTCAACAACAGAATAATCAGAGAAGCCATAGAGATAGAAAAACGCCCACACAGCATGAATAAATGAGATGACACCTCCCGCCTACCAGCCATTTGGAAACCTGCCCTCATGAACAGACGAGTACCTAACATGAAGAATGACACCAGACCCACACCCACGAGGGCCACACAAGATGCTACCACCACACTTCCACATAGAAAGCAGACTCATACCCACACAGAAGATGAAACACGACCACGGGCCAGAAGCTGCACTGCAGCTTCAAACCCCTCTGACCCATACATGAAGCGAACTGACACCCACCATGAAGATGCGGCACGACCATGAACCCGAAGCCAAACAGCAGGATCACAGCTCACCAGCTCAAATCCCCCAGCAACTAAGACTAACCTGAGCACAACCAAGCCCCCACCTGAACAGAACACACCTCCAGCCAATCAGAACACGGCCAACCCCCCAATCAATCAGAACACAGCCAAACCCCCAACCAATGAAAACACACCCCCACCCAATCAGAACACAGCCAAGCCCCCACCCAATCAAGTCACACCCCCACTAGCAGTTAAAAGGAAGAAGCAGCTGCAAGCTCACATTACTCTGAGAAGCACAGAGCAGAAGACACAAGCCTGAAGATGATGAATGAGACTTCATCGAAACGTTGCCTAGATACTTCCAATCTTACGTGGGAGAATACCCGAATAACCAAAGATCCACATACAAATACCCGCGAGAACCTCAGAAAACCAACACACACACACACACACACGCAGGTCTTGGCGTGTTCGGGTCTTTTCCCGTGTAAGATTGAGAGCACAAGCATGAAGCTGAAAGCACCAGCCTGAAGATGGCGAGTGGGACCTCATCGAAACGTTGCCAAGATGCTCTCAATCTTACATGGGAAAAGACCCGAACACGCCAAGACCTGCATACCTGTACCCGTGAAAATCTACGAATATGTATATATATATAAATTTTCTCATACCTTTCTGGTTAGAAATCTTTCTTTCTGGACATGGTACACAAATATAGCAGCAAAATGGTTCCCCTTCCTTTTTTTTCTTATGGAGACCAGGATGACACTGGTCATTACATACAGAAATTGGCAATACCTATCATAAACATGTGGAGAGTATTTAGAACTCAGTAATATGACCAAATATGAGAAATATACAAGAATGTGCTTATGATCACAATAGAACTGAAGAAATTATATTTATATAATATCAAGTCCAATTTATGAAGTTAATAATTTTTAAAACTCTAAATTTTATTAACTATACAAAATAAGACTTCTTCCCATATCATTCAGTTCATATAAATGTAATAGCAAAATAACACATTTTTTTTAAAAAAATCTGAAATGATAATTACAAATGGTTAAGAGTTGAAGAAATAAGGAAGATTTATTTAGAATTGAGAATATATGTTTTGATATTTGAAAACTGGGTTGAAAGGAATATACTGGAATGTGTTTGCATTACTTTTGAGTAATTTGGGTCCAAATTGGGTTCTACATAGGCATTGTGTATGTGTTTATGTGTGTGAGTGTATTTATGTGTTTTTGGCCTGCTGGTTAAATACTTTTCGCTTCCTTTTCTTTATAATATTACTGAATTTATTTATTTAGGGAGATATAGCACTTTTATTCTGCTTTGGGAATCATTATTAATGAAAGATAATTTATAAACCATATATCCACAAATACACAAATGCAGAAAATAAAGAGGGATTTATTTGAACTCATATTTCATATAGATATTCCTCAACTTGTAATTGTAAGTTGTGCCAGTTGTTTAGTGAGTATGTGAGTGACCCAATTTTAAGATATTTTTTGCAGTGGTTGTTAAACAAATCACCATGGTCATTAAGCAAATTAACCTAATTAAGTGAACTCATTTTCCACAATGGGCATCCTGGAAACCAGAAGTCTATTTTATTCAAAATCCATGTTCTGAGTCATCTTACAAGATAATCAAGGCTGTCTCATTTTCCAGACTTTCCCTCTGGCTAAGTGACAACACATAATGATTATGATTCTTAGTGGCATTTAAGAAGATAGTCTGAACCATTCATTTTTTGGATTCAGAAATCCGAGATAAGATTACCCCTTTTTAAACTAAGAATTGAGTTTTTTTATTCCTTACCTGATTAAACATTCTGTGCCACACAATGTTTTCATCACAAATGGATAATTCTTTACCTTGAGGTGCCAGAGGATCCAGACTTCCAAATTTGACTTTAACGTATGATTGATTGGGAAAAATTACCCAATTTATGACATCAAATCCAGTTACTAGTTTACCATTTTCATCAAAATGCACAATTTCTCCAGCACTGTTGTTGAATGAGATACCTCTTAAAAAGGGATGGAACTAAATCAAAGCAAAAAGAACATTCATGGTGGAAATCTTGAAAAACAAACTAAGAACATTTACTGCAATGGGATTATTTTGTAACTCTGTTAAAAGCATCTGGAGGCCTATAGCATTAAGTGGGCATCTTCAGAGTAACTGTAGAAGAGAAACTGTAAGATGGGGAAATAAATTGTGTGTTTTTAGAAAGTTGTACTGTATATATTTCTGGTCAGTTATGATAATAAAGATATTCATTTATTTGTGGAAAAGAATTTGATCCAGTGTTGACCTCCAGCCACTTAAGAGGCTATTGTTTGGATAGAATAGAATAGAGCTGGGAGGGACCTTGGAGGTCTTCTGGTTTAACTCCTTGCTCAAGCAGGAGACCCTATACCATTTCATAATGTTACTTTGAAATTTGAGTTGACCCCCTCTTCTTTGTGGCAGCCCCTCAAATATTGAATATTGCTATCATATTATCCCTAGTCCTTCTTTTTTCTGGACTAGCCAAACCCAAAGCCTGCAACTGTTCTTCATAAGTTTCAGCTCCAAGCTAGCACAGAAAGAAAAGATTTGCATTTTACCAACCTTAGAAGGATGGAAGTCAACCTTGAGCCATGAAACTCAAGCTGCTGAACTGCTGGCAGCCAGCAATCAGCAGAAGTAGCTCACAGTACTGCATTCTAATCATTGCATCACTATGGCTCTTAATAACGTTATATACTTCAAACTTTGAATAAAGAAAACATTACTAGACCACAAATTGCCATCTTAGGTTCCTATTTCTAATAGATTCCAGAGCAATTAAAATTCTTCCAGGATGATTCCAATTTTTTCTCTCTCTACTTTGCAATTGATACATAAAAATCTCCTTTAAGAAGGGGTGGGATTCTACAGGTTCACACCTATTCATTAGAACCGGTTGTTAACATTCTGAGCAGTTTGGAAAACTGGCCGTTAGAAGAAATTACTGGCCTAATCCTGTAAGGAAGGAAACATTCTGGTGATGCTTACAAAAACTGCTTCTCCATTAACTCTTATTACATTCTTGTCAGGACTAGACTTCTTGTCTCTGGAACGTCTCTGGAGTTTTTTCCTCCTCCTTTGCTGGTACTTTGCTTGTGTGGAGTGACCATTCAAAGTTACAATGGCACTGAAAAAGTGACTTATGACCATTTTTCACACTTACGATTGTTGCAGCATCCCCACAGTCACGAGAGGCCATGCAAGGAGATGAGTGCCTCGATGTGAGTGATATTGAGTTGGTCACACCCAGCCAGTCACATGACCAAGCCACGCCCACCACCTTAGCCATGTCCACAGAACCGGTTGTTAAAAAATTTGAATCCCACCCCTGCCTTTAAGTAACTTATTCATAATCTTTTATTTTAAAGCAAAGAACCGTGACCATTACTAGATATGGTGATGCTAAATCCTATACTCTAGAATATAACTGTTATGATATGACCTTATTTTATGAAATAAAAACAGAGGGAAAAATATTTCAAAACCTTTTCTTCCAGCTCTTCAATAATTTACTTGCAAAGGGTAATCAAATCCATGCATAGTATTCCAACGACACTTCCAATATTAGAACCCGTGACAACAGATTGTGTTGTTTCTCTGTGTCATATATGTGGGTATACGGTATCTGTAATTTTGTATTTATTTATTTAGCCATGTTTATGTAGTGTGTATTGGAGGTGGTGACCCTTTGAGAGCTGTACGCAATGAAATTTCATTTTAATGTATGCCGATCAGCGTACATTCAAAGTGATAATAAAGTTATTCTATTCTATTATTAACATGATATTTTTTATAATGCCTTGGTAAGATCACACTTGGAATACTGGATTTAGTTTTGGTTGTCATAATGTAAAAATGATGTTGAGACTTTAGAAAGAATGCAGAGAAGAGCAATAAAGAAAATTAGGGGACTGGAGGTTAAAACATATAAAGAACAATTGCTGGAATTGTGTATGCCTAGTTTAAAGAAAAGAAGGACTAGGGGTGACATGATAGCAGTATTCCAACAACTAAGGGGTTGCCACAAAGAAGAGGGTGTCAACTTATTCTCTAAAGCATCTAAAAGCAAGACAAGAAGCAATGCATGGAAACTAATCAAGGAGAGAAGCAATGTAGAACTAAGGAGAAATTTCCTGATAGTTAGAACAATTAATCAGTGCAACAACTTGATTCCTGAAGTTGTGAATGTTCCAACACTGGAAGCTTTTAAGAAGAGACTGGACAACCATTTCTCTGAAATGGTATAGGCCAGGGTTTCCTACCTGAGTAGGGGGTTGAACTAGAAGACTTCCAAGTAGCTTTCTACTCTCTTATTCTGTTGTATTCTGTTCTGTTTTGTTCTATCCCGCCCCATCCTGTCCCATCCCATTCTCTAATTAAATTGATCTTATATGTTTCCCCGTGGGAGAGGGAGATACAATTACTTTGTCGTGTAAATTAAATTAAATCTATTGATTTGAATCAGGATCATATCCAGAGGGAAAAAGTTTAAATTTTTTTATGCCCAAATCTTAAACTGGATGAGATCTTGGCAATTTCTTGAAAAAAAAAATCAAATTCTCATATGACATATATAAATAATATCAACTTTTCCATTATAGCAATGCAATCTCTATCAGACCCCATATTTCTAAATATGACATAAAACATTTGATTTCTCCAAAGCCAAATTTCATTCAATTTTTGAGAACTGCATTTCAACACAAATGGAAGACACCAAGATTGGAAATGAAATGCACCTCCCCACCAAATGCTATCTTCTTATAATCTGCATATAAAAACTAAGCTTTTTGGATGCTAATTACCTGCCATGGCTGGAGATTCCAAAACTTTAGGATTCCTCCAGGAACCCTTCTTCTGTATTTTGCTTTAGCTTCACAAATAGTATGTAGAGTATGTGCAATGGCATGGGCAGCATTGTAGATATTGTAGCTTTGGCCAGTCATTCTCATTTCAAAGAACGTTCTTGGAAGGCTCTTCAGCTTCTCTTTTCCTGTGCATTTTTTCTTGTGCTCCTCATCTTCAGTTGTCTTGTAATTTTTCCATGAACAGCTAAAAGCCTTTTCCCAAAAATCCTGGATAAAACCATCTTCTCTTCTCCAGAAAGGCTTTACATTCTCAAGAAATGCTGTAAATCCTGGTACTTCATTTGAATGAACTGAAAAAGATATAGCACCTTGGAAAGGAAGAATATCCATGTTCTTTTGATAGTCAGTTAATGTGAAATCCCACTGTTCTGTCACAATCCACACTTTACCAATGTGTGAATCCCAAGCAGACATCTGAAGGTACCACATTAAATTAAGCATGGATACTAGGGAACCATGGGCAATAAATACATTGGCTTTACTTTTCATGAGACCGGGAAATTTCTCCAGATCATCTAGAAATAAATCTAAAAGTTCAGCCAAATCAGCCCATTTATGTGTTCTCTTGATAAAAGCAAAACAGATATGATTTTCAAAAAGCATAGGCACAATGGCTTGGAAAAACCTTTCTCCGTTGTCATCATTTACTGCAAACAGGCCGATCCATGTCCATCTAAAATATATCAGCAACTGAATAATCCCAGAGTACTGACTGTATTCATTTGGAACCATCCGATATAAAGAAGAAAAAAGAATTTCATCACTCAGTCCTAAAACAAGTGATCCATATGTGATCTAAAAGCATTAGTTACAATAAAAATTATATAATTTCTGTAAATATGAATTCTGATATGTATATTAAATTACTTTTTAACATGCAAGTGTAACCAAAATATTGTATAATATAGGTTCGAACAGAACTTCAAGCTTGAGAATACTGTCCTCTGACAATTTTACTATTATCTGCAGTGAATATTTTTCACAGGGAAACTACATTCTTAATTGGTGGCACAGCATTACAATCTGAAGTGCTGTCTTTGGAAACTATTTTGAAATGTCTCTCACATGAAGGATATGCTTTTTTTGTTCTATATTAAATTTTACTTATGGCATTGATTTATTTCTCTATGTTTAATTAATATTAATTGTCCTTCAATGTCTTATACATACACCATAGCGTTTTAGTTGTGTAGCTTTTTGCAGGTACACCTCAAAATATCACCTGTGGGATCTTGTAAAGGTTTAATATTGTGGCCATATACAGAGAGGTTTCAGAATCAAGTCCTCCAATGACAGCTATCAAATGGTTCTCAGGATCATATTTGTAGTTGGGGATAAACCTGTTCTTTGTGGAAAGCAGGCGCAGAGTGGCATCATATGTGATCTGTCTACTACAGTAGTTATCCAAGATGCGCAAACCCAAAGTGACATTGGGAAGAATCATGAAATCCTCATTGATCTCTTTTATTGCAAATACAAGAGCCAGAATGTACTGGTAGTTCTTTGGCATCACACTGCAGATTACATAAAGTGCAGCAAAGCATGTTTAGAAAGAATACATAGAGTACTTTAGCAAATCAAAACTTTTTTTCTTGTACTATAAACACTAGCAAATGTAGAATGTCATAAACTGTGTAGACAAAATCTAGCATGCCTGAAAGAAATAAAGTAACAATAGTAGAATAACAGAGTTGGAATGGACCTTACTTGTCTCACCATTGAATTACATTTTCTTAAATAGGGCCCAGTGTTCAAGGCTATTGAAATCCTTCTGGATCTTGAACCTATCTTGTGGAGTGTTGGCTATTCCTGTCAGCTCGGTATCATCTGCAGATTTGATAAGTTCCCCTTTTATTCGCTTGTCTAAATCATTTATGAAGATGTTGATGAATACTGAGCCTAAGACAGGACCTTGGGATACTCTACTGCTTACTTTTCTCCATGTAGAAATAATTCCATGAAGGACTACACATTGACTGAGATTTGTTGGCTAGTTATGAATCCATCTGGCAGTGATGCTGTCTATTCCACATTTTTCTAAGTTAGAAAACTGTGTTTTTTCTAAATTAGAAAATGGTGGCTTAATTTGTCAAATGCCTTACTAAAATCCAAGTATACTATATCCACAACATTTTGCTGATCCATTAATTTAGTCACTTAGTCAAAGAATGAAATAAGATTTGTTTGGTATGATCTGTTTTTGACAAACCCACATTGGCTTCTAGTTATAACTTTGCTTGCCTCAGGTGTTCAACAAGTTTGTTGCTGATCAAGTAATTTGAACAAGGATGAATGTGTTCCCCAAAATTGGGCAAATACACTCACTTGTTTATTGTGAAGCATGCTGATAGGCATTTCCCTATATTCATTGTTGCTTGACATAAAACTTTCAATACTGGATTCAAAGTTCTGAAACAAAACACACTCAAACATATGTTAGCTTGGCCGGTTTTTTTTTTTTTTTAAAAAAATACCTGTCACTACTTTATTCTGAAAAGCTACAGATATAGTGCAGAGTTCTTGTGTCAGAAGTCCTTGCCTATAGCTGGATAATATGCTGAGAATTTTGGAAGTACCATTAAATATATAAGTACATTCATAAAGCAGGGAAGAATTTGATAAAAAAAGAAGGAATGGGGAAAAATAATTTGCAATGGATTAAAAAATACCTGACAATAGAGCACAGCAAAGCATGAATAAAACGTGGAACTTTGAAGAAATGAAACTAAAGAGCTTAATAGCTTTATTCAATAAGGAAAAGTGAGAAGCTCGGCTTAGTAAAATAAAATAGGAGTGAATGAAAAAATTAACAGGCAAGCAGTTGATAATGAAGAACTACTGTAATACATTTTGAGACCCAGAACAAAAATGATATGTCAAATAATATATTTCACTTTTTAGATTGCCAGTAAATATTGTCATCAAAAATAAATGAATTTCTAACAAAATACTGAAAATAAAATAAATGCAATTCTCCAGGAGTTAACAAAGGCATAATACAAAGAAGCAAACAACAATAATGTCATAAAATGAAAGTATGCAGTATCTTAAATTCATAAAAGTTTCTCATGTTCCAATTATCTTGGTCTTAATGAATGGATGCTTACGGAAGAGGGAGTTGGCAGAAAAAGAGAATGAAATGCTTACATGGCTTCCTTGATACTAAACAGGGATGGTTGCTCATTGAAATTAATTGAAAAGTGAAGGAACAAGATTTGAGAAACAATCTGTCCAATGGCAAAGTTTCCCAGCTGATAGAATTCATGTGAAATTTTGACCGGATCCTTTATGTTGCATATAATGGAAGAAGTCTTAGTATTGTTAGAAAAGGAATGTGTCTTGAACACGATTTGATATAATAGCATGAATAATATTAACATTTTGAAATCAGGATTACTTTGCAGATTAGTATTCTGGTTTCATCAGTAATGTCTAAATTGTTATATCATTGAAGGAAATATCAGCACTTAATGATTGCCAATGTTCTTGGTATTCATACTTTGTTGATTCTAGCTTGATTTTCCAAGCTATAATTGTACTATTCATTTATTTTCTTTTTACTCATTTGTAGGTTATGTTAGGTTACATATATGTTTCCTTTCTATAATTCACAAGACCCCAAGTAAATCCTTCAGATATATTCTGGTTTCTGGACATTTATTCCATCACATACAACTAGAGAGAGTTCTTATGGGTCTGTTCCTCTCAATTCCCTTTGATCCTCATCTAGTAAATGAAGTAATTAAAGTTGAGGATATAATAATGAATTTTAACAAGTCCTCTGGCGCTGAAAGTGCAGTTGACATTAGGGAAATGTTTATTCTCAACTTAAATATCATGCAGTTGATAAAAATTGTTTCTCAAAACACAAAAGCAGGATGTGTAAGTAATTTAATATACCCAAATGCTCGTATAGCCAAAGTGAGAGAAACCTACTATAATTTATGATGGTATTGTTGTGGTTGCAGTTGCTGTTGGGTGTGTGTATGTGTATGTATGTGTGTATGAGGGTGCATATACACACATATACATTCTGATATGTGAAGGAGGGGAAGCAATTGATAAAAGGAGTACTGTGCTGTCATGATACAAGTTCAACCATTTTTGTATTATATCTCATTCACCTATAAAAGCAGTGGATTATGATGTGTCAGATCTTATGGAATGCCTCTATATTTTAGACAATGGACAAATGTATAGAATGGATTCCATCAAAAAATGAATTTGATAGTCCATAAATTGAGTATATGTAAAACCTTCTGGTAGTATGTAGTCTGCTTAGCTATGGATCATCATGGAGAGCTGTGGTGAAGCAGTGGTTAGAATATAATATTGCAGGCTAACTCAGTGCTCATTCCAGGAGAGAGCCTGGTGTCAGGGTTCTGGCAGTTACTCTAATTAAATCATGAGCCTCAAGCCACACTCCCAAAACTAAAAAGGATTTATTTGAAGGTAACATTCTACATCTGGCATTAACCTGGGCATAGCCAACTCTGAGGTATATAATTCACTGTTACCCTTGATCCTGCTTTTCCCTCCACCCCTCCGGGTGTATCATCCAATGAAAAACATCCATAGCTAAGAGTCATCAATCATGCTCTCCAATTAGATTTTTTCACGGCAGAAGCTTCAGCCATCTAATCAGTCTTTGAAGAAAATATGAATGGAATGTACTTTTGATTTCACACTGTTGCTTGTCTTTGAAACTCCCCCGCTTCTTTCTGTTGTCAGCTATAAAACATGTATACAAAATGTTTTATGAGTTGACATTCGGCTCCCCTCACTTCTTTTTTTTAAACAAATTTTATTAATTTTCAAAGGCAATACACAAACAAAAAAAACATAAAACGTAAAAACATAAAACATCTTTTCTAAAAACTGCTTATTAAGTTTTAACAAAACAAATAAAACATCTTGTTTAAGTACAGCATAGTTCCAAATTATCACATTTCCATACAAACACAATGTAATATGCATCTTATGTATTCAACTTCATATCTTATTACTCTTTTTCCAACTTCTCACTATTTTTCCCTTTACTTCTATTCAATTTTATTCATTAAACTTATACTTTCATCTGTCTTATTTACAATTTCATATGTTCTCATCCAACATTCTTAATTCTCAATAAACAAACATAAACAAACAAAACACGTAACATGAAAACATAAAACTTCTTTTTAGAAAGCGGCTTAACCCCGGGTTACATCTTTTTGTACAGACATAAATCAAATTCATGCTCACCTTATATACTATTTCGTATCTTATTTAACATTCTATATTTTCTATATGTCTTCTCCCCTCTTTTCACTCTCTTAATTCTATTTTATTTACTTCATCTCAATTTAAATCATTATATTTGTATCTTTTGTCCATTCTTTTTCAATTATCTATTTATCTTTTCACTTTAATACAAAATTTTTCCTGTAATCAGTGGTTGAAGTATGACGCCTTTCTATCTTTCCCCCAAATTTAACACTTAAAATAATACGTAGTTTCCATTCTGATTCTGCTTAGTACATTCTACGTAACATTTTAAAATAAAAAGCATAATAAGCTTATAGTATAGTAAAAACAATGTTCCATAACAAATTAATTAATTAAACTCTATTATTAAATCTTAGACATTTTACACATTCCCTACAATATTCTATTAACACATATAATATTCCAATTTTCTAACTCTATTTCAAATACAAATGCTACGATACAATCTTATGTACTTTTGCAGAATCTCTTTTTAAATTGTATTTTACCCTTTGTCTCTAAAAAAACCCTGTTTTTAACATCTTGTTTTAAGCCTTTATAACTTCTCTTCCCTTTTTTCCTTCCTTTCTTGTCGAATCTAGCCTTTTTGCCCCTCCATCTCTCAATCTCCGCCCTCTTAGTCTCCCCTCTCTGTTGTATTCCTCTTTTCTGTTGCTTTCTGACATTATATCGATTTTTCACCTTATTTTTCCCTTTCTTGGTTGTTTTTTTAGATCTTGAATTCTCCATTTTCTTTCCCCTTTCTCCCTTTTCTTCCTCAACTAAAGTTGTTTGTCGATTAAAGATGGCTTCTTCTTCTTCATCCCAGCTTTTTTGTTGCTGTATTTCCTGATAAGTAGAAATCGCCATTTCTAAGAAGTGAAAAACAGATCCAGAAGAGCCCTTGCCTTCTTGTTCCTCTTCTTTTAGCTTTTTAAATTCCATTTTCAATTCTTTCACAGATAATGCCATTGTGAGATTTTTTTTAAACAATCCAAATGTTTTTAGTTTTTTAAAAGATAGTTTGCAAAAGTCCCAAAGTCATCAAGCAATCAAAATCAACACAAACTGTTTCATTTAGCACTTTCTTCTTTTAATACTTTCTCTTCCTGGGGTAGAGTTCAATTACACAATTCCAAAATGATTTTTTAGAAGTCTTATTGCAGTTTAGTCTCTGATCTTATAAGCTCCAAGCAGTCTCCTCCAGCAAAATCTTAGTATAAATCATTTACCTCTCCCTTCCCCCCCCACTTAAAAAAAAAAAAAA